AACATTCAAGGAAGATTTAATACCTATACTTCTCAATCTATTCCAAAAATTGGAGAAGACAAAACACTTCCTAACACATCCTATGAGATCAACATCACCCTGATCTCAAAGCAAGATAAAGACAACACAAAAAAGGAAAATTACAGGCCAATATCGCTGATGAACATAGTTGCAAAAATCCTCAACAAAATATTGGCAAATCAAATACAACAATACATTAAAAGGAACATACATCATGATCAAGTGCGATTTATGCCACGGATGCAGGGATGGTTCAACATCCACAAATCAATCAATGTGATACACTACATTAACACAGTGAGGAATAAAAACCACATGATCATCTCAATAGATGCAAAGAAAGCATCTGACAAGATCCAACACCCATTTATGATAAAAACTCTCAATAAAATGGGTATAGAAGGAAAGTACCTCAACATAATAAAGGCCATATATCACAGACCCACAGCCAACATCACACTCAACAGGGAAAAACTGAAAGCCATCCCTCTGAGAACAGGAAGAAGACAAGAGTGCCCACTCTTACCACTCTTATTTAACATAGTACTGGAGGTTTGAGCCAGAGCAATTAGGTAAGAAAAAGAAATAAAAGGTATCCTAATAGGCAAGGAAGAAGTGAAACTCTAATTGTTTTAAAATGACATGATTCTAAATATAGAAAACCCTAAAGAATCCACTGGACAACTATGAGAAATAATCAACAACCATAGCAAAGTTGCAGGGTACAATATCAACTGATAAAAATAGTTGCATTTCTATAGTAACGAACTAACAGAAAGAGAACTCAAGAATACAATCCCATTGGGCCGGCCCAGTGGCCAGTGGTTAAGTTCGCACACTCTGCTTCAGTGGCCCAGGGTGCGCCGGTTTGGATCCTGGGTGTGGACATGGCACCACATGTCAAGCCATGCAGTGGTAAGTGTCCCAAATATAAGGTAAAGGAAGATGGGCATGGATGTTAGCTCAGGGTCAGTCTTCCTCAGCAAAAAGAGGAGGATTGGTGGCAGATGTTAGCTCAGGGCTAATCTTCCTCAAAAAAAAAAAAAAAAAAAAAATAGAATTCAATACCATTTACAATCACAACAAAAAGAGTAAAATAACTAGGAATAAATTTAACCAAAGAGGTGAAAAACCTATACAATGAAAACTATAAGACATTATTGAAAGAAATCAATGATGACATAAAGAAATGGCATGATATTCCACACACATGGATTGGAAGAATAAACATAGTTAAAATGTTCATACTACCTAAAGCAATCTACAGATTCAAAGCAATTCCAAACACAATTCCAATGACATTCTTCACAGAAACAGAACAAAGAATTCTAAATTTCACATATGGCAACAAAAGACTCTGAATAGTTAAAACAACCCTGAGAATAAAGAACAAAGCTGGAGGCATCACAATCCCAAACTTCAGAAGATACTACAAAGCTATAGTAATCAAAACAGCACGGTACTGGTACAAAAGCAGACACACACATCAATGACACAGAATTGAAAGCCCAGAAATAAAACGACACATTCTTTGACAAAGGGAGCAAGAACATACAATGGAAAGTCTCTTCAATAAATGGTGTTGGGAAAACTGGACAGCCATGTGAAAAAGAATGTAAGTAGACCATTATCTTTCACCATACACAATAACTCAAAACGGATTAAATACTTGAAGGCAAGACGCGAAACCATAAAACTCCCAGAAGAAAATACAGGCAGTACACTCTTTGACATTGGTCTTAGAAGGATCTTTTCGAATACCATGTCTACTTGGGCAAGGGAAAACAAAATAAAAACTAAACAAATGGGACTTCATCAGACTAAAGAGCTTTTGCCAGGCAAAGGAAACCAGGAACAAAACAAAAAGACAAACAACCAACTGCGAAAAAATATTTGCAAATCATATATCCGACAAGGGGTTAATCTCCAAAATATATAAAGAACATACATGCAACTCAACAACAAAAAACAAACAACTCAATCAAAAAATGGGCAGAGGATATGAACAGACATTCATCCAAAGACGATATACAGATGGCCAACTGGCACATGAAAAGATGTTCAACATCACTAATCACTAGGGAAACGCAAATCAAAACTACAATGAGATATCACATTACACTTGTTGAATGGCTACAATTACCAAGACAAAAAATAACAAATGTTGGAGAGGATGTGGAGAAAAGGGAACAATCATACATTGCTGGTGGGAATGCAAGCTGATACAGCCACTATGGAAATGGAAATGGAGATTTCTCAAAAAATTAAAAACAGAAATATCACATGACCCAGCTATCCCACTACTGGGTATTTATCCAAAGAACCTGAAATCAACAATTCAATGAGACTTATGCACCACTATGTTCACTGCAGCATTATTCACAATGGCCAAGATATGGAAGCAACCCAGATGCCCGTCAACTGATGAATGGATAAAGACATGCTATATACACAATGGAATACTACTCAGCCATTTGCAACATTTGCAACAACATGGATGGACCTTGAGGGTATTATGCTAAGTGAAATAACCCAGACAGAGAAAGACAAACACTGTATGATTTCACTCACATGTAGAAGATAAACAAACACACGGACAAAGAAAACAGATTAGTGGTTACCAGAGGGGAAGGGGGTTAGGGGGTGGACATAAGGGGTAAAGGGGCACATACCTATGGTGACTGACAAATAATAATGTACGACTGAAATTTCACAATGTTATAAACTATTATGACCTCAATAAAATAAAAAAAAAATAAAATTTTTAAAAACCAAACAGATCAATGGAACAGAACAGAGAGCCCAGAAATAAGCCCATGCATATATGGTCAATTAATTTACAACAAAGGAGCCAAGAACATAAAATGGGGTAAGGATAGCCTCTTCAATAAATGGTGTTGGCAAAACTGGACAGTCCCATGCAAAAGAATGAAACTGGACCACTGTCTTTACACCATACACAAAAATCAACTCAAAATGGATTAAAGACCTGAACGTTAAGACCTGAAACCATAAAGCTCCAAAACGAAAACATACGAGGTAAGCTCCTTGACTTCAGTCTAGGCGATGATTTTTTGGATTTGACACCAAAAGTAAAGGCAGTAAAAGCAAAAATAAACAAGTGAGACTACATCAAACTAAAAAGCTTCTGTATAGCAAAGGCAACCATAAACAAAATGAAAAGGCAACACAGAATGGGAGAAAATATTTGCAAATCTTCTATCTGATAAGGGGTTAATATCCAAAACATATAAAGAACTCATACAACTCAGCAAAAAACCAAACAATCTAAGTGAAAAACAGGCAGCGAAACTGCAAACACATTTTTCCAAAGAAGACATACAATGGCCAACAGGTACATGAAAAGGTGCTCAGCCTCACACATCATCAGGGAAATGCAAATCAAAACCACAATGAGATATCACCTCATATGTGTTAGAATGGTCACATCAAAAAGAGAAAATATAAGTGTTGGCAGGGACATAGAGAAAAGGGAACTCTTATGCACCGCTGGTGGGGATGTAAATTGGTACAGCCACTAAGGAAAACTGTATGGAGCTTCCTTAAAAGATTAAAAACAGAACTACCATTTGATCCAGCAATTCTACTTCTGGATATTTATCCAAAGGACACAAAATCACTATCTTGAAAAGATATGTGCACCCTCAAGTTCACTGCAGCATTATTACAACAGCCAAGACATGGAAGCCACCTAAGTGTCCATTGACAGATGAATGTAATGGGGGCCAGCTCAGTGGTGCAGTGGTTAAGTTCCCACATTTCATTTCCACAGCCCAGGGTTCATCAGTTCCGATTCCCAGGTGCGGACCTACCCACCACTTATCAAGCTGGTTTGGATCCCGGGAGCAGATCTACCCACTGCTTATCAAGCCATGCTGTGGCAGGTGTCCCACACATAAAACAGAGGAAGATGGGCATGGATGTTAGCTCAGGGCCAATCTTCCTCAGCAAAAAGAGGAGAATAGGCAGCAGATGGTAGCTCATGGCTAATATTCTTTAAAAAAAGGAAAAAAAGGAAGTTGTGATATACATACAATGGAATATTACTCTTCCATAAAAAAGGGAAATTCTGCCATTTATGACAACCTGGATGGACCATAAGGGCATTGTAATAAGTCAGACCAAAAAAGACAAATACTATATGATCTTACATGCAAAATCATAAAGAATCCGAACTCATACACAAAGAACAGATTGGCAGTTCCTAGAGGTGGAGGTGGGGGGTATGTGAAATGGGTGAAGGTGGTCAAAAGGTACAAACTTCTAGTTGAAAGAGAAATAAGTCCTGGAAATGTAATGTACAGCATGGTTACTATAGTTAAAAATACTGTGTCGTATATTTGAAAGTTGCTAAAAGAGTAGATCTTAAAAGTTGTAATCACAAGAAAAAAAAATTTTAACTGTGTGGTGATGGATGTTAACTTTATGTTGCAATCATTTCACAATATATACATATATCAAATCATTATGTTGTACACCTGAAACTAATAATGTTTTGTGTCAATTATATCTCAATAAAAAAGAAAGAACAATAACCTCTATACCTTGAGTGCCTGTGAAGGTAATATATCATTACTAATTCCCAAAACAACCCTGAGAAGTTGGTAATGTTCTCTTTTTACAAAGGAGTGAGGCCGAAAGGGCTTAAAGAAGTTAAATAATTTGCCAGATCAACAGGTAATAGATCCTAGCACCACAATTTGAAGCCAGTTCTCACTTCAAGCATGGTTCCATTTCACTAGACCAGAGATACTAAATGGATTAAACTCCTATGTCAAATCCTATTTACTGGGAAGTAGCAGGATTTATAGTGAGAAGCACTCTGACACTATTCCAAAGCTCAGTCGCAAAAGATCTTACAAAATTAATGATGCTCCTATGGGTATGGGAGGGCCTAAATGTAGGCCCCATGTCTGCCATTTTAAAACAGGATTACCCTGTTTACAAGATTCAGTTACCTTTCCATGGCTTCAAACCTCATTCCAGTTAGTCGCTTGACCCTGTGACTTCCGGGGAACTGTCTTCTCAACTCCTGAAGACAAAACTGAAAAAGTAATTGGTAAAAAAGACTTGAAGAGTAGTAATTACATTACATACACTAAATGAGCTAGATGGAATGCCTACATTGTTTTCAATGTATCTTTTTAATTTCATTAGTGTGATCTAATGACACAAAGTGAAATTAATCAGTAATGAACAATAGGGTAGAAGAATAATTCTGAAATTACAGAGAGGGTAAAAATCAGTTCTCAGAGACTAATTATGCTTTTAACTGGGAAAATGAGCAGATCATGGGTCCCCTAATAATTCTTCAAATCCTATTACCATATTACTCCTCTAAAAATTGCTTCCATAACGTGTTAGGCCCTACTTAAATGCCTGTAAACAGTTTCCTAGCCTTTTCTTCCTAACTACTGCATAAACATTCTCCTGATAAAAATTAAGTTCTTTCATAGTATTCTCAAGTCCCTAGCTAATACCATTAATTCTTTGTTTAATTTTGCCTTGTTGAAATCACATATTAATCAATCATGTTGTCAGCACACATGTCCTGATTTGGGGTCATAAAATACAGGCACAATATCTATGGAGGACCAATCTCCTTAATTCACCCATCAACTCAACCTAATAAATAATCAAATAGTAACTGAATACCTATCACGTCTACAGCAACATATGAGGAATTATAAAAGTCTTGGAAGTGCTAGAAATGGTAAGGATTATAAAAACGGTCCATTCTAGTGGCCCATAAGTGACCAAGAGATGCCTTTAACTAGTGAAGAAACTATTAACCAGTAACAAAATAAGTTTTAATACAATCTGGAAGTATAGCTTCAAAGTCTGTGATTGAATATTTGCCAGGCTAAGAAAAATATTCAAGTTAGTCAAAACTGAAGATAATATTAAGTTATTTCTTTGACATCATGCAAAACTCATACAACTTATCAGCTAAACTGTGCACAAATTCTGAACCATTAAAAAATAGTGTGCTGTAAAAAAATCATTTAATTTGATCTCCTGCTTTATCAATATTATTATCTAATTTGATCTCCTACTTTATCAAATGGCATTTGGCTATTTCAAAAAAAAACAATGCAAAATTTCCCTCAAGATATAAGCTGGTACCTCTGTGAATACTCAAAAGACTATGTGTGTCTCATAGGTTCTGAAGGTAATCCAAAAAGGTTTTGTGGAATATTTTTTACCACTGGCAGTACCACTGGAATTATATGTATAACCAGCTAACGCAATTACCCTGAAAAGGATAATGCTAACTCAGACATGCATGTGTTTTCCTGGTATTTCTACTTTCTGTTTTTGTGTAAGTCTTTTTGGCTTAAATGAGGAAGCAGCATGAAGTAGTACTTAAGAAATCAGGATAATAAGAACAATAGAACAAAAGAATAGAAACCTTTGTTTCTTGATTAATAAAGTAAATACAATGATAATATCAAAGACAAATCAAATTAAGAAATTATTGTGAAGATTAAATAAAGCATTTAGCATAGTGCCTAGCCAGTAAGTGTTCAAAATATACCATTATCATTCTTTTATTTTAAAAGCAGTATTAGTATTTTAAGTCATGTTCTGTACACGTTAGAATTTTCTAATAATTTAAGATATATAATTACAATATTGCAAAATAGTATTTAACATTATATACTATGAAAGTCATTCAACAACCCAAAAGATAAACTTGTTTTAAACTATCTGCTTCTTAGTGTAAACTCTATAATATAGCATAATTCACCTATTAAGTGGATAACCTTCACCAACTAATTTAACCTCTTCCGTAAAACTGGGATACTACCTAGTTCCCAGAATTACTAAAAAGATTTAAGAACACATTGTGTCCCAAAGTATCTAGTTAGTCTCACCCACTCTTAAGAGTAGCATTGAAAATGAGCTATAGAAAGCATTCAGTACAAGCCATATACTAATTCTTAACTGCTTACATATAATTCATGGAACAAATTAAATATAAAATAAAACATAATTAGTTTAAATACCTACCAATGCCAAGTCATCTCGACCATAGTCTAGGGCTGCAATCATCACCTGCTCATATATGATCCAAACTAGATATACATATAAAAAAAAACTCAATTTAATATAAAAATATCCCAACAGAAATTAAACAATGAATTCTTCTTGTTCTGTTATTTATACTTATAACTGAAAATTGATTTATTGTATTATATCTGGAATTAAGGAAAGAAAGCATCCTTATATGTTTTCAACAATGTAAAATATTTTAATATATTTTTACGTAAAAAAATTTCCAGTTATTTAACACCTTTACTGTTTTAAAAGATTCTTTATGAAATACATTTTCACGAGACCAGAACTGCAGCCACATGAGCTTTAAAATAAAAATGCCTATTTGGGGATTTGGGGGGTCGGCCCTGTGGCTGAGTGGTTAAGTTCACGCACTCTGCTTCGGTGGCCCAGGGTTTCGCAGGTTCGGATCCTGGGCATGGACCTAGTACCACTCATCAAGCCATGCTGAGGTGGCACTCCACATAGCACAACCAGAAGGATCTACAACTAGAATATACAACTATGTACTTGGAGGCTTTGGGGAGAAGAAAAAAAAGAGATTGGCAACAGATGTTAGCTCAGGTGCCAATCTTTAAAAAGAAAAAACTCTCATCGACTATTCCAGTTAAAAACTTTAAAAAAAAAAAAAGCCCATTTGATAGCTTCACTACTACCAGCCACAATAAATCCCTCTTAAAATAAAGTATCATTAAACTTCCTGAAAAGTTTTTAAAAAGGTGATAAATCACAGATAGACTGAAATGAACAGCAGAAAAGACGTTATAAAAGATAGTTTTAAAAAAAAAACTAAAAACCATATATGGAACATGTGCTGAGCAAGAATACGATAAATTAAATAAACTTACTATCGTCTCCAAGCTTAGAAGCATATTCATTAATTAATTCCTCTCCAACTTCCACAATTTGCTCACTATTTCGTGAGTTTTCTTCTCTCCATTTTCTCATTTTATCTCGCATTTCTGGAAAAAATAAGCTTGTTATTACACATATATAGTTGATCACTGTCAAAATATTGACAAGATGAAATCAACTTTTTAGGTAAAAAAAATAAACACACTAATACACAAGTCTATGGTATCTCAAAGTTCATAAAGGAAAAAGTCAATTTAAAAAGAGCAACAGATCCTTTAGAAGACTGACAATACATTACAACTGATATTATAACTATCTTAATTTAAAAGTAATGAATGGCTTGGGTCCATTACAAAGATCCTCTATCCCTTTTAACAGCAACGACAGATCTTAACTTTTTGGAGGTTACAGACAACAGTCAGAATTTGATAAAAGCTAGGGATTATTTTTCCAGAGAAATGCATAAAATTGTACATAGAAATCTCAAAAAATTCAAGATGCTCCTGAAGTTCATCCACTGACTCAAGAACATAAAATTTTCATAATCACGCTATCATATTAGGCTATCACACTGAAGGAATATTCATCACAACACTACTACAAGAGTACATATAATGTATAAAGATATACAACTATGCAAGGACATCAACAGCAAAAAAAATTAGAACAAAGGAAATCTTTTGATTATATATACAAGAAGGAATAAAATGAATAAAGTCAAGTCAAGTCAAAAGCATTAGCAAACAACAAACATCTTTGCATATTATAATACAATAGGGTACTCTGGAGCTTTTTAAAGAACAGCATTTTGGTAATAGCAGAAATAATAACTAGAAAAAAAGAGTACCTAATCCAGTAAACAAAAGAACCCTTTATAATAGTTAAGGTACAATCAACTGTCCAATTCACCAATTATACACATGCTCTCTTATTCCTACCTCTGAGAATCTTAAATATATAACTCATATGAAGTACCACCTTCTTCGTTCTATAGACACAGATGTTGAATAGATTCAAACAGTTGAATTAAATTGTGTTGAACAAATAAGTTAAATAAACAATATGCTAGCCCCCTAGAGAATAAAGAGAAGCACATGGGATCTTCACCACTTTTATATGCATCATCTGAGTTCCTACAGTTCGAAGTCTACAAAAGAAAACAAAAATCATGAAAATAAGATGGAAATGGACCCTAGCTGAATTTGAAAAATGGTCTTAGAAAATCATTACAAATTAACATACAGTTAATTTCTTCTCTGAAACCCAGAAATCAGTTTGACTCTCACTCTTCATAGGAAGTAACCTTGAACTGAATCTTAAAGGTTGAAGAAGAATTCAGTAGGCAAACAAAAAAGCAGGTTATTCCACACAGAAGGAACTCCTGGTAGTTAGAATTAGAAAGCAGAATGGAATCAGGAGATGAGAGGGTAGGAAGTAAGAAGAATGAGTTTCTAAAGGGTCTTATATTTCATACTAAAAAACAGAAGTTTATTTTTGAAGGTGCAGATAAACCAACCAAAAAACGTTAGCAAAAGGAAAGCAGTATGATTAGATATGCATGTTGGAAAAATCATTCTGGTCCAAGAAAACAAAAACACACAAATAACAAACAGAAGATAAACTGGAAAAGAGCAGAAAAGAAATCAGTCAGGGAGGATGTATAGCATAATGGAAAGAAGATGTACTTAGACTTAGTTTGAATCTGAACTCTGTTACATGACTTCCTACAACTCACCTAATCTGTGCTTAGTTTTCTGCACCTATGAATGGAGATAACAATACTCATAGTTCAGGGATGTCTAGCTAGAATTAAACAAAAATACATATAAAGTTCCCTCAGCAGAATATCTGGCACACAGTGGTGACTTAGTAAGCACTAGTTTCTTCAATGTCAACCAACAGTCTAAGGGAAATATATGCATCAAGCAATGGCAATAGATATAGAATAAGGGAAGGAATGAGAGGCAAAAATTATGTATGAACTATTTTACTTCTTTTTAAAAAACAGATTGGAGAGACTATGGAAGGATGGTGGCAGATATAACAGCAAAGTCAACAGTTATAAGATCGGCATAGTAGCATCATCTATGCAGAAGAAAGCTAATGGAAGCAAGTATTCACTGGAAAGCACCATGAGCCAATCTGAATAGCAACTGAAACAAGGAAGGGCTCTGCCCTCTCCAATCCCAGGCAAATGTATACAGACAGTAGTAAGTAGGACTGAAAAGGCTGAAGCAGTTGAATCTATGTGAATTCTCAAAATTGGCCAAGGCTCCTTCTAAGACAAGATTCCAAACTAAAGAGAGAGTGATGGAAATCGAATAAAAATTCAGCAGCCCAAGGACAACAGGATATGTAGCCAAGAAATCTCAGAAAGCAAAAACACTACACAGAAACAACAGAAGAGGGAGTGCTCTGAAGTTAAAAAAAAAAAAAAAAAAAAAAAACTTTATACTGAATCCTACCTCATTTCAAAATTTCAGGAAAACTAATTTCACATAAAAATGAGCAATAAATGCACAACAGTATTCAGGTCAAGTTATCAAAAGCAAAAAGAGAACAAACAGTTGAATATCCTTGCAATACACACTGAAAGCATGCCAGAAAGACAAGCCCACAAAACAGATCAAAACTGTAACATTTTATTTCAAAGTAAGCTAAAAGACATTAAGAAAATGATATAAAACATAAAATAACAACATGCATCAGAATTAGAAGAACTGAGAAACGAGGTGACAGGACTCAGGACAGAATGAGAAATAAAAGGAAAATAACTTCAGAAACTAAAACTAACTAGAAGAAACATAGCACAAATAAACACAGAGTGAAAAAGAAAAAACATTTTTTCTTTCAGGTTTGAGATATAATTGACATACTGCATATATAATTTAATGGAGTACAACACAACTTGACTTACATATACTACAAAATGATCATCCCAATAAGTTTAGTTAACATCCATCACCACATATAGACACCCAAAAAAAAAGAAAAGAAAAAAATATATTTTTCCTTGTGATGAGAAATTTTAGGATCTACTCTCTTAGCAACTTTCAAATATACCATACAGAGGTGTTAACTATAGTCATCATGTTGTATATTACATCCCAAGTACTTATCTTATAGCTGGAAATTTGTACCTTTTGATTACATTCATCCAATTCCCCCACCCTCTACCCTTCACCTCTTGTAACCACAAATCTGATCTTTTTCTATGAGTTTGGTTTTCTGATTTTTTTTTCCAGATTTCACATATAAGTGGGATCATACAGTATTTCTCTTTGAAAAAAATTTTTTTTAATGAAGAGATAAAAAGGGATTGAAAAAATAATGATGAATATTGAAGACAGGCAAAGAATATCCAACATATGGATAAAAGGAGTCGCTGAAGAAAATCAAAGAAAAGCAACAGAACAAATTCTAAAACCTGTAATTCAAGAAAACGTTGCTGACACAGAAAGAAAATGTGAATTTACATACTGAAAGAACACACCATGTACCTGAGAATATTAACCCTGGATAACCAATATGAAGGCATATGCTAGTAAAATGAACGGAGGTTAAGGGGCAAAAAATCCTTTGAGCATCTAGGAAAAAAAGACTTCTAAGACAAAGAAGGTTAAAGGATTACTAAACTTTTCCACAATAATGTTTTATGCCAGAAGAAAATGGATTAACACAATTAAGATACTCAAGGAAAGAAGGTATGAGCCAAAGATTTTATATTCAGCAAAACTCAGTTCCAAGTATACAGGATTCCAAGTATACACAAATTGTGATCAACATGCAAGAACTTAGAGAATATTGTGCCAATATACTCTTCCTGAGGAATCTACTAGAGAAGGTTTCAAACAACCAAAATGGTTAGAAAGACACCAATCTAGACTTGTGGTGATCATTAATTATATAGTTACCTGTGGAACTAAAAACACATAATGGCTAAAAGAAAGAGAATATCTGTTTTATGCTCAGAAAATGCAGACATAATACAACAATTTTAAAAAATGGGTGAGAATAATAGCATATGCAACAAATTTGTTTTAATAACTTCAGTAATAATATTGGTGGTAACATTAGTACTGTTTTTCTAAGACTCTAGTAGTTGTAATAAAACAAATGAGTAATTATGAGATATTCTAGTTCTGTCATCTGTGTCCTTGAGAATCAGGAGTCTCTTGTAAAAGAAAGGAGCTACAGATGTAAAAGAAAAACAATTCAAATAAATCTTCTGTACTCCTGAATTTAAAAGCATCAATATGAATTCATTAGGTATTTTGTCCTTAAATATATACATACACATTTCCTTTTTTTGTTAGTGCCCTCGAGTAGATTCCTGCTCCTAGTGACCATGTGAATAGCAGAGGGGAATTCTGCCTGGTCTTTTTTGCACCAAACATCCTCTCACCTTCCGGTGCTCCATGAGACAATGCTCTGCTGCTATTCATAGGGTTTTCATGGCCGAATTTTTTGGAAGTGGGTGGCCAGGTCCTTCTTCCTAGTCTGTCTTGATCTAGAAGGCCCACTGAAACCTGTCCACCATGGGTGACCCTGCTGGTATTTGAAATACTGATGGAACAGCTTTCAGCATCACAGCAACAATATGGTCACCAGAGTATGACAACCAACAGATGGGTAGTGTGGTTCCCTGAACTGGAAAAAAACTACGTTGTAGCAGGGAGAGTACGGGACCTTAACCACTAGACCACCAGGGCTGGCACACACATTTTCTAGCTATGAGCAATTCAATAGTAATGAGCACACATAGCATGCAAATTGTGGTCTTAAAATACCATTTCTCACTAAAAGAAATCAAGACTTCTTAGAAAAATAGCTGATTCCAGGTATGGGACAAGAAATGTATGATGATCCTGGAACATCTTCTTATATCAGATATCAAGGAAGACTACTAGGGTCAGGTCAAAATGACCCAGGAGCCAAAGTGAAGAGTTCCCACTCATCAAAGAGGTAACAATTTTGGGGGCAGCCCCATGGCTGAGTGGTTGGATTCGCACGCTCTGCTTTGGTGCCCCAGGGTTTCGCTGGTTTGGATCCTGGGTGCTGACATGGCACTGCTCATCAGGCCATGCTGGGGCAGTGTCCCACGTGC